GTGGCCTCAGCTCCCTCAGGGCAGCCAGCCTCCCTCTGCTCTGCCCTCAGCACACACAATCCTGCAGAGGAGAAGGGACACAGTCAGGAGGAAATGGAAGGGTCTCCTCAAAGCACAGGCCTGGGAGAGTCCCAGCAAGGACTGCGCTGCCTCCTAGGATGGACCAGAAGGGGGCCCGGAGCCCCTCCTGTAACAGGCTCCAGCACAGCATCCTGGGCACAGAAATGACCCCCAAGAAGAGAGGAAATCCCGGCAGAGTCCACTGAGAACATGCGCAGGGGTCCCTGAGCTAAGCCTGCCTCCCCTGCCCCCGATTCCCTTGGGAAGGGGTCACAGCATGGGGAGGGAGCCTTAGGAGGTAGCTCTGGCCCCTGTAAGAGGCTGGGATGGCTCAGACTCACAAGAGCTGCCTCTGGGCCAGGAACATAGCAGGAAGAGAGCAGCATCTCCCAGGAGGCCAAAGGCTTCTCCCAGGAGGACAGCAGCTTCTCCCACAGGATGCCAGATTCTCCCGGGAGGATGGCGGCTTCTCCTGGGAATATGGTGGCTTCTCCCAGGACGGAAACTTCTCCCAGGAGGACAGGGGCTTCTCCCGGGAAGACAGTGGCTGCTCATGGGAGGACAGAAGCTTCTCCCAGGGGGATGGTGGCTTCTTCCAGGAGGACGGTGGCTGCTCATGGGAGGTCAGAGGCTTCTTCCAGGAGGACAGAGGGTTCTGAAAGGAGGACAGAGGCTTCTCCCAGGACTCTCTTCTGGATGTGAGGCAGGAAGAACATGGAAGTCCTCTGAGGGGTCCCCTGTACTTCCTGCCTTCTGCCCCTATTTGACTGTTTCTTGAAGAGCAGCAGCCCCGCTCTCCTGGACCCAGTCTCCATCTGCCTTCAGCTGTCTCCTGATCTGCCTTCAGCTGTCTCCTGGACGCATCTGGCCTAAACTGCACCCAGCAGATACAGACACCAGCTCCCCACACTCTCCCATCGCTGAGGGCGGCAGCCATGTCCAGGGTCCCAGCCCTCTTGTTAAAGCTCATCTGCTCCCAATCCCACAGCAGGCCCAGCCACGTTGGTTTTGAGACCGTGGATCGTCAGGAATGTTTGTGGAGGGTTTTTTGATTGACAAAGGGAACTTTATGGGAGCGAGCAGATCTGATGCTCCGGGCAGCGAGAAGGACGTGGGAGAGGGGAATGTCTGACGTCGCCAACCCCAGCTTCGGAGGAGGTGGCCGAGGAACATGTTCATTCAGCCAGCGCAGACCCAAGACCCCAGCCCAGAGCTCAAAACTCAGACCCTCGACAACTCCGGAAGACACAAATCTGTCTTTCCCATTGTGCGGGTTCCCAGGGCAGGATGTCACCATGACAACCACCCCGCGCTCAGCAGCCACGACGTCAGTCAGACGCCACTGGACACTCAGTGTCAACTGCTCACCAACAGCCTGTGGCCTCCAGTAAATGATCTGCTCTGGGCCGGGCGCGGTGGCTCAAGCCTGTAATCCCAGCACTTTGGGAGGCCGAGACGGGCGGATCACGAGGTCAGGAGATCAAGACCATCCTGGCTAACACGGTGAAACCCCGTCTCTACTAAAAATACAAAAAACTAGCCGGGCGAGGTGGCGGGCGCCTGTAGTCCCAGCTACTCAGGAGGCTGAGGCAGGAGAATGGCGTAAACCCAGGAGGCGGAGCTTGCAGTGAGCTGAGATCTGGCCACTGCACTCCAGCCTGGGCGAAAGAGCGAGACTCCGCCTCAAAAAAAAAAAAAAAAAAAAATGATCTGCTCTGAAACAGGGAGGGAGGGTGGAGGATAGAAAACGGGAGGTGGGAAGGGAAAGCTCTTCTGTCATTTTAAAAGTTTCTGGCTAAAAGTTAGCTTGTATTACTGATATTCCATAAACAGGGCTCTGCAGCCATACTGTGGAAGCGTGGGGCACTGGAGAAACAGCTCATTTCAAACAGGAAAATGGTTTGTGTTCACCCAGTTCCAGAAGCCAATTTTCAACTGCTTAAAATAGTCATGATATTTTACCAAGGTAATTATACTCTTAGCTCTCAGTAACAATTAAATCCTTAGACTAGAGCCGCTTAATAAAGGTCTTGAAATAAAACTGCACGCTCCAAGCACTGTGTACTAAAATGTCAAGCACACAAGGAGGGCCTCCGACGGGACACCAGAGGCCCAGAGCCCCCACCAGCCGCAGGCTCGCAGCCCTCCTGGGTGCGCCTGGAGAGAAGACGCTCCTTGACCACCAGCCAGCCGGGCGGTCTGCCGTGCAGAGCTGAGGTGGGCAGTGGCCAACACCAAGGCGCACAGACCCAGAGCAGCAGGCACACCGCTCCCTCCAGATGGCTGAGTGAACAGCTTCATAATGGCTGGCTGGACGGATCCTGCATCCCTGGCCTGGGGCTACACGGGCGACTGGAATCGATCCTTTGTCAGGATAAACAACCAGTCCATGCCCGGTGATCAATATCCACCTTCTTGCTAACACAGAGCAGGCCTGTGAGCACAGCAGGGTCGGGGGTAGGCCGGCGTGGGCCAGAAAGTGCCAGAGGCTTTCCACCTGCGAAGCAGAGCAGAGAAGAACAGAAACTTCCTGCCCTGGGTGGGCCGGGGTGACCCTCAAAGAGGAACGGCAGGAAGGAAGCCAGGCACAGACTTCCCAGGAGGCTGTGGGGCTCCACTGGACCATGAGGGAGCCCCAGAGGGGCGAAAACCACACCAGACATCCAGTGATTGCGTGCAACTCCTCATCACGGCCGGGAGCCCTGGCACTAAGAGGGGATGTGGGCAGCAGCACCAGTGTCCTGTGGGCCACAGAACGTCAGGCTGCAGGCCAGACCCAGCACACAAGAACACTCAGGCCCACATGTGACCTGTAAAGGGAACTCTTCCCATCAGCTTCCAACTGCTGACTTAAGAAACCAGAAGGTTCCCATGGGACGAGCCGCAGCTGAGGCCAGGCGGGGCTGCCCTCATGTGGGGACCACACCTGTAACTCACCCACGCCACGCACGTAGGACCACCCCAAAGTGCTGCCCGCCTGGCCGGCGTGGGCTGACGTCACTCCCCAGCCCCGACCCAGAATCAGAGTGGGCCAAAAACAAGGTGCCCTCGAGGGGGCACCACCCGAACACAGCCACGTTCCCGGGCATCCTGGGGTCATCGGGCCTGAGCCCAAAGTTTAGCAGAAAGAAGAACTGAGACCCAGAGAGAATGAGGGACATCTGAGGTCCCAGAGAAAGGCCTAGCTCCCAGCCCAGCCCTCCTACTCTTCCTCCCCAAGGAAGCTCTGGGCTTCCCACATCACGGGACCACAGCAGGTCATCGCACACTCAAAGATCACCAAGCCCAGGTGTCCCGCCACCCCGACAGAACACAGCCTCACCCCCTCTGCTTCCCAGGGCCTCTCCTCACTGGCAGGGTCGGGCTGCACTTGCCTGAACCCCCCGCAGTGGTCAGCCCACACGCTGTGGCCTGCTGGGCCCAAGCCGCTATCTCCTCTGGCTCCAGGCCTCGAGGGTGACTTCAGCAGCGCTTTGTGACAAGCCGCCTTCTCTCCCTCCGCCATGGTTCTCCACACACATTCACAAAGGGGAAATCCTTGGGTCCCCACATGAACGCCACCTCCTAAGAAAAGCCCTTCTGCGGCATCGCCACGCCGTCCACCTCTGTGGAAGTGGGTGGCAGGTGCTGGTTTGGTGCTACTGCCTGACCCCGCTAGAGAGTCATTACCCAAGGGTTGTGCCCACACGTCTGTGCCGCATGCACCGCACGCATCTTGCTTAGAAGCTGACACACTAGCAGACATGGTGTCGGAAGAGAAGGGAGCACGGAGGAAGGTCCTAGAGCTGCTCCACAGAAATGCACTGTGCCTGACCATGCAACAGGGCTGGGTGTCCCCTCTGCCAGAGGCAGCAGACAGCTCCGGCTGAAAAGTCATGTGAGAACATTTTCGAGTGTCCCCTGTCTGGGGTGCACCTGCAAAGCCAGGGTTTTGGGGCCAGCCTCTGGGCTGTGCACAGGGGCCAGCTCAGCCTGTGTTCCGGACCCAGGCCCATGTGAACTTTTCCTTCAGGAGACAGCATGGAGCCGCCCAGGAGCGAGCTGGAGAAGCCATAAAACAGCAGCTTCGGAGCAGAAACGTTACTAATTTTCTGAAAGCTCCACAACCAAGAGGTCCCAGCAGCAAAGAGCCTCGGTTTTCATCAAAAACGATCAAGAACAGGCAAACATTCATGAGGCACAACTCCCAGCACTTGACAGGTGCAGCATCCATCCCAGGCCAGGGTGACACAGCCCTCCGCCCACTCAGCACTGGCTGGAGGCGGACAGGGGGAGCCTCCGCCCAGCAAGCTGGACACCCGCCCTGGCCCAGAGAGCATCTGGGGACAGATTTATTTCTCTCCTGCCTTGTCTTCTGAAATTTCAGTGCTCGAGGAACATTTTATACAACACTCACAAAAACTGTCTTTCACGCTCCAGTGACCTCTGCTCACGGTGTCAGACATCAGAACCCCCGCAGGCACTGACGATTAGAGTCGGGCCATGGAGCCGCCCACAGGTGGGGCTGGGGCACACCTGGAAGCAGGTGACACCCTTCATCCCGAGCCCAGGCCAAGATCCACACAGCGAAACCGGCATCACTGGACGGCAAAGCATGAGGGTGCAGACTGCAAGGGACACAGGCGCCTGCAGAGGGTCCGCAGTGACAAGGAACGCTCTCCAGGGCTCAGCACAAGGCCGGGGGGGACACTGAGATGCTGGGGGAACTGAAAAGGGTGGGGCACACAGCAGGCCCAGAGGGTCCCACAGGGAGCACCGGGGCTGAGCACTCTGGCACTCCCAGAACCCTCCTGGCAACCCAGGGCCAAAGTGCTAACTATGACCCAGCTGCACTGACCCAGCTGCAGCACTCCTGCCTCTGCAGTGAGATCTCGCTGACCAGGTGTGCGCTCTCCCGCAGCTCCCTGCAACTCTGATCAAAATATGAGGGCACAAATCACCTTGGTGAGCAGCAGGACCCGTTTCTGGAGCCTCCGGGCCAGCGCCTCGTGCGTCTCGCGCTTCTTCCTCTCCTCCAGCAGCTGGCCGCTGACCTGCCGGAGCTCCTCCTGCAGCTGCTGCCTGGCCTTCTCCAGCCCCCGGGCGCTGCACAGGAGAGACAAGAGGGCAAAGCACTGAAGCCTGGGGTGACCATCCCACCGCGACCCGCCCCACCCCAGCATGAGCCCACCAGGACACCCTAAAATAGAGCTGCACGTGCAGCCCCCTCACTGCCATTTCCGCACTGCTGAATAGCTACTTAAGGCCTTTCAGGAGTTTCTGGATTTCAAATAGACTCCCAGGGTGATCCCAGAACACGGCAGGGAGGGGGAGGGGAGCTCAACTCCACACACAATGGGAAAAATTGTCGGCGACGCAGCCCTTTGGGAGACGGGACTTCTGAATGAGCGAGATTGCAGAGCCAGCGCTTCCCCTCTGAATCACCGCAGATGTGCAATGTGGTGCGGGGAAGCAAACGCCGGGCGCCTGCTGGTGGGGGCCTGTTCTAAAAACATTCTGCGAGGCTGAAAGCCCAGCCTGGCGCTGAGCACTGGGAACTGGGAGGCCTCCTGCGGGCCGACGCCACGGGCAGGGCCAACTCCAGGCTGCCCAAGAGGCTTCCCCCTGTCCGCCCCTTCGGGTGGCTGATAGCTCCTTTGATTTCTGCTTTTGAATCCTCCTTTCCCTGCACGTTCCCCGCTGCCTCAGTCCCTATGCTGGTTGCCTGTCACCTGCGTTACCACAATAGCCTCCCAACGGCTCTCACTAGACCCCTCGACCACTGGGCACCAAGCTGTCTCCTCAGACAGCAGAGAGGGGCTGTGTCACGCAATTTTGAAGCTTTTGGTGGCTCCCAACCACTCCTGGTGAGTCTCCGAGTTCACAGCCTGGTAGTAACAGGCCTCAGGGGTTTGCCCCCCACTCTGTCCTTCAGAAGCTGACTTGGGAGCCAGACAAATGACAGCGTCCACTGACCCTGACTGCAAGAACCCACCTATGATGCAATGACTTTCTGTGATTCCGGGAGCCCCAGGACTCCACCTCCCCACCGGAGGGGGCTCCCAGGAAGGGCGCAGCGAGGCGCACAGAGGAGAGACTGCCCCGGAGAGAGGGTGAGTCAGGACTCCACCTCCGCATGGGACAACCGGGCACGCGGGTGCTCCCAGGAAGGCACACAGCCAGGAGAGATGAGAGGCCACCCAAGAGGAGGCAAGTCAGGACTCCGCAGCGAGGCACGAGGACGCTCCCAGGAAGGGACACAGCCAGGAAGAAGAGAGGCCGCCCTGGGGAGGGGGCGAGTCAGCGGAGGGAGGGCCCAGCCCCCCTCAGAGAGCCCAGGGCAGGTGCGGAGTGGAACGGGCGCTGGAACACAGGAGCTGCACACGACTGTACTGAGCATCACAAACTTCTTTCCAAAGGAAATCTTAACTAAATCTCGAGGAAATAAAACACAGCACTGGGATGGAGAAAAGCTAACGGGGACCACAGTCCTGTGAGGCGACCATCAATGAGAACCAGGATGAAGCTTTCCCTTCCCCAAACCACTACCCAAGAAAGCACCATCCGCCAGCCCCAGGATGAAGCTTTTCCCCAGAACACCGCCCAAGAAAGAGCCATCTGTGGCCAGGGGCGGTGGCTCACGCCTAAAATCCCAGCACTTTGGGAGGCTGAGGCGGGCAGATCACGAGGTCAGGAGATCAAGACCATCCTGGCTAACATGGTGAAACCCCATCTCTACTAGAAATACAAAAAAAAAAAACTTTTTTTTTTTGTATTGCTTGCAGTGAGCCAAGATGTTTGGAAACAGGAATGTGGGATGGGGCCATGAACACCACCCTCAGGCTCACACCTTCCTGGCCATCAATTGCTTCTGCTCGGCTCTAGTTACATGACTTGAGGAAAAGCTTCATCCCGGGGCTGGCGGATGGCGGTTTTTTTTTTGGTTTTTTTTTTGAGACAGAGTCTTGCTCTGTTGCTCAGGCTGGAGTGCAGTGGCACGATCTCGGTCACTACAAGCTCCGCCTCCTGGGTTCACACCATTCTCCTGCCTCAGCCTCCCGAGTAGCCGAGACTACAGGCGCCGCCACCACGCCCAGCTAATTTTTCTGTATTTTTAGTAGAGACGGGGTTTCACCATGTTAGCCAGGATGGTCTTGATATCCTGACCTCGTGATCCACCCGCCTCAGCCTCCCAAAGTGCTGGGATTACAGGTGTGAGCCACCGCGCCCGGCCACAGATGGCACTTTCTTGGGCGGTGGTTTGGGGAAAGCTTCATCCCGGGGCTGGCGGATGGCGTTTTCTTGTGCGGTGGTCTCCGCACATGTTTGAGTGAAGTGAATACGGGGTTTTTAACTGTAATTCAGTAGAAGTCTTTAAATAAAGGGTAAGTTGAAAGTGAATGCGAATCCAACACTCACAGAACGTCAGAAGGGACTTGGTGGCGGTCCTAACCCAGCCAAGCATGGCGGGAACCCCAGCCTGGCCACCCTCGGCCAGCCCCAGCAGAAGCCGCACAAGCCCACAGACTGGGGCCAATGCACTGGCGTCCAGGACACGGGCGTTTCATTTCAGCCTCGTGTGATCTTGTGAAATACGTATCTGATCGTCAACCCATCTCCCAGAACACAACTCCTAAAACCCTCGGGCTCTCACGATGAGGCCTTCCATGTGCCAATGACTGACGGTGGCTGCAGCCCCCAGGCAGCTGCAGGACGGGGCGGGTCACCAGGAAGACCAAGGCCGGACTAGAGGCTCGGGACTTCAGTCCCACCCCTAAGCTCGGGGAAGGAGAGGGGCTGAAGGCTGAGTGGCTCACCAATGAGCAGGGGCAGAGTTAATGACATCCACCTGACGAGGCCTCCATCAAAACCCAAAGGCCTCTCACCGGAGCTGGGAGAGCTTCCAGTGTTCCTGGAGGGTGGTGGCCTCTATCAAAACCCAAAAGGACTGAGCTGGGAGGGCTTCCGGTGTTCCCAGAGGGTGGCGGTCCAGGGAGGGCATGGAAGCTGCAGGCCCTTCCCCCACACCTCGCCCTGCGCATCCGTTCATCTGCGTCCTTCGCAGTAACCTTTATAATAAACTGGTAAACGTCTGTTTCCTTGAGTTCTACGAGACACTCCAGCAAATTAATCAAACCCAAGGGGAATCCCAACTGGGTGGTCGGAACCCCAGTTTACATCTGGCCGGTCAGAAGCACAGCGGCGGCTCACGACTGGCACCAGAAGGTGGGGACTGGGCCCTCACCCCAGGGTCTGATGCCACCTCCAGGCAGACAGTGTCAGAACAGAACTGAGTGAGGCTGAACTGAACGGTTGGTGTCCCAGGCAGAACCGACTGCTTGCTTGGTGGGTGGGGAAACACCCACATCTGGTCAGTCTTCCGTGTGGACTGCTGCAACGTGAGAGCAGAGGAAACCGTTCTGAGTCTTTCCCATCCCATCAGCCGCCTGGGAAAGCCCTGTGCTGACACTGGCCCCAGGTGCAGCACTGGTCGGCGGCCCCCCACCCCCTCCAGGTGCTGCATAAGCAAATACGCACGATAAAATAAAAAACAGGCACAAAGCTCAAGGGAAACACATATTATGAGGCTACTTTGGGCTCCAGTTCAATTTTAAACTATTCATGGGCCAATTTAATAGTCAAGGGCTGTAAAATCTACTCTTGAATCACTGAATTCAGGTGCAAAAGTTCACAAGTGCTTTAAATCACGGTTCCGTGTGATCATTTAACTCGAAGAATGCCACCGTTTCCTGTGCTCTGCTTTAAAGCCAGGGTGTGCAAAGGCAAGAATGTGACAGGTGCTGTCTTTCAGGTGACAGGCGCCCTCAGCTCAGCACAGGATGGCTGGGCAGCCTTGAGGGGGACCCGACAAACCCACACCCTGCATTCTGAGTGAGGGTGCGCTCACATCTGTGTGGGGCACACGTGGGGCTGGAGTCCCCCCACCAAGAGCAGATGCGAGTCCTGAGTGAGGGTGCGCTCACATCTGTGTCGGGTGCATGTGGGGCTGGAGTCCCCCCACCAAGAGCAGATGAGAGTAACGCACACCCACGGGACAGCGGTTGTCCTGCTTCAGAGCTCAGGCTCCCGGCGCTTAGGGACCAGGGCTCAGTGCAATAGAGTCAGGTGCCAAGACTGGGCCTCAGGAACTAGATGTGGCCTGAGCTGCTTCTGACCCACTCTCCACAGCCTAGGCCACCTCCACGAGGCAGGACGGCTGGCACGGGGGCCACCTCCGCGAGGCAGCGCGGCCGGCACCGGGGTGCCCCAAGCCCGGCCCTCGTCCTGCAACAGCGGCTCTGCAGAACTAGCACAGTCCTCCTCTCTGCTTAAAGGGTCTTTACCCACTCCTAGTTTTAGAGTACTGAGGGAATAATGCGAACACTAACTCTGGGATGGAAGGGGAAGGTGGAAACAGCTACAGGCGTTGTTAAAGATCTGCAGGAGTGCTGTGGCCTGGCCAAGGACAGAGATATTCCTGACCTCCTCAGACCCTTGCTGGCTCCCAGATCTCAGGGGTCGTCAGTCACCTCTTGGTCCCACCCCCACCTCCCGCCCCTACCCTTAGCATAAGAAGAGCCTGAGATCGGTACTGACTTCAGAGGGTCTTTGTGACCGTAGGTGACCACCTCCCCGATCTGCCGGCTCTCTGAATACACCCGCTCTTCCTCCACTCTCGCCTCTCGTGTCTGCCTGTCAAGCATCGGGCAGCTGAACCTGGGCTTCCTCATGGACCCGGTCTGAGGAAATGCAGCGGCTACAGGATGTAGCATGAAGCGTGTGTTCCACGGCGCTGCAGAGAGAAGACAGAGCCACAGGGGCGTGGGGCTGAGCCCAGGCTGGAAAGGCTCATCAGCCAGGTTGTAAAGCAAACCTCCCCTCACGAAGGGAGATGGGAGAAATGAACCAGAGCAACACATGCTCCCGGCTGAGGGACAGCATGGGCGGCAGAGGCACACCCGCTCCAGGATCTTCCAGGTGCGGCACTCAGGCCCGCGTCATCGGGGCCATACCCCAAGGCCTGAGGGCTGATACCGCAGTCTTCTGAACAACAGAACTAGACTGTAAAAAGCCAACACCAAGACACGACAAGCAGACGACACTGT